TGGCCCCCCAACAGTGTGCACCCCTCAGCCCACACTCCCTGGGTTTGGCCCCCCAACAGTGTGCACCCCTCAGCCCACACTCCCTGGGCCTGGGCCCATTTTTATGCTCGGTTTACTTTTAATAGTAGCTCAGAAAAGGGAATTGCATGTGGCTCCACACTGGGGGGACTTGCAGGGGTCAGCAGAACCACACAATGCACGAGGCTGGGGGCTTCCCCTGGGGCAGTCCTGGCCCAGGCTTCCGGCAGGAGCAGTGGGAGGACTTGTCAGAGCAGCCTGTGTGTGTTCAGGGGGTGCTGAGCCTGACAGCTTCCCTGTGTTTGCTTTTCTCTGTTTGGTGCCACCTGAGCAGACTGATGGAGAGAGACGGCCGCTTTGCAGATGAGCACACTGAGCGCAGAGCTGGAGGTCTGGTCAGTGACCCTGGGTCTAGTGGCAGCACAAGTGACACTCTGTCCTGCCTGGGACGGAGATYTGGGAGGCTCTGGGGGAACTGGCATTCTTGTGGGTGCAGAAACCGGCCAGCTGGCAGTGGCTGCCCTGGAGGGTAAGGAGTGGAGAAGTCCGTTTGCCACGAGTGGTGGTGTGGGGGTGTCTCGGGGCAGTGGTGACCAGGGGACCCGGGTCAGTCGGGGTTCTAATGAGACAAAAATCTACTGTTGAATCCAACTTAAAAATAGAACCCAAGGACCCACCTTCCTCTGGCCCCAGGGGCCCCTCAGTTGCCACCCCGTGATGGCCTGGCCGCAGGCGGGAGGCAGGAGTGCGTAGCCTGGTGGGGTCCAGGCAGCGTCACTCAGCCACGAGACTCTACTTCTTAAAGTGGCACTTATTAGACAACGAAAAGCTTAAAATATGAATAAATAGATGACCATTTAAGTGAGCATTGCTGCCCTACTGTCCCAAACTCTTTTCTAAACATTGCTCCTCGTATTACGAATGTAATGAAAGCAGCCACAACAAAATCAAAGTATTCTTTGCTTCTGAAAGCTGGATTTCATGGTCCCGAATGAAGACACCGGGCAGGAAGAAGTCCAGCCCAGGGAAATGGGGACAGAGGACCCACCACCCATCGGGCGGCAGCCTGGAGCACGGCCTGCCCTTCGCTTCCTGAAGTGCCAGAGCCCAGCGAGTGCACAGAGAGCGCCCCACCAGAAAACAGGAGGTCGCCAGGTGGCCCTGGGTGGCATGTGAGTGGCAAAGCCATTGAAAAAAACCCAGAAATGAGAAATGTTTGCCAACAGACAAAAACTAACAAGCAACCCACGTTGCAGTGATGAAGTCTGTGGTGGAGGTGAAGGGGTGTGTGGTGGAGGGGAAGGGGTGTGTGGTGGAGGGGAAGGGGTG